AAAACCTTTTACCTGGTAACATTAGTAGCCTAGTAAATAAAATTTGCACCATTTAACGTTTTTTTTTATTTTTTTAGTCTATCTCCTACACGACGCTCTTCTTTTTGGTGGTGTTCAAGAATAATAATAACGGCTAGTGAAAGTTAGTGCTTTTAGGGCAGACTACTTTAAAGTTACAAAATGGTGTAATTAATCTGNGAAAGTTAGTGCTTTTAGGGCAGACTACTTTAAAGTTACAAAATGGTGTAATTAATCTGTTTTGTGAATAATGACTTTTTGTTGCAAAATGGTTTTGAGCTTTTTCTAGACTCTTGTTTTGTGTAGTGCAAATTAAAAAAAGTTGTTTTTAAATCAAGAATAATTAAGCTCATGTAATTATTTTATTTGAATTTGTTTAGTTTGTTCAAACAAAAAAAATATTTGCTTTTGCATCAGGCAAATTAGTTATCAAATTACCCAATTACCATAAAATTAGCATTTGAATGAAATAAATGAAGTGTTTGCCAGCCTCTAAATTCAATTGAGCAATAAAATTAAAAACATTAATTTTTTTATTTGCAACATTTCAAATCAACACAACAAAATAGAAAACAAGAAAAAATTAATTTAATCAATAAACTAAAATCGATAATGAGTCCAAGCAAAAAGATGGGAAGAAAAACAACAACAACAACAGCAAAGATTTCTGATCAACTGGAAAATCCGGTTACAACAGCTATATATAGCTCACAGAAACTTTTAGCTTTCAGAAAAAGCAGAACCTGACAGCAAATACACACTAAAAGAAGGAAAATTGAGCCCAGTTTTTCTCTGGAACACAGTGAACGCTCAATGCTCACTTTACTTTACTTTACTTTACTTTGGGGGCTATATAGGGACTGGGAAAGAAAAGTGTATATCCGCATCTTACAGAGGCCAGCTTTGCCGCAGCCGTTCCACATCACATCACATCACAGTGAAAGAGAGAGCCAGTGAACACAACACAACACCGAGCATATTCCTCTTCTCCAGCAGATGGACACTGAATCCTTACCAGAAAGAAAGAGAGAAAATGAGAGAAAGTACCAGCGCCCCGAAACACTTTAACATTTGCGGCCAATCTCATCAGAAGAAAACAATCAAGTGGAAGAAGCTGCTGCTGCTGCTGCTGCTGCTTTAGCTGGCGGTGGTAACCTGAAACCTCTGATCGCTCCGCCACTACTTAATCTCTTTACCCTACTTTAAGTGCTAATTTAACTTTTGTGCTCTCCTCTGAAATCACATAAACACCGTTTTTAACGGCTTTAAAAACTAAGCACTAAAAGTTGCTATAAAAAGAAGATGTCTACAACAAACATNGTGCTCTCCTCTGAAATCACATAAACACCGTTTTTAACGGCTTTAAAAACTAAGCACTAAAAGTTGCTATAAAAAGAAGATGTCTACAACAAACATTTCAACCATTGGCGGCGGCGGCGGCGGCGGAGGTGATAGTAGTGCTTCAGCTCCTACAGAAGACACTAAATCCACCCGATCCTCTTCGACTACTTCCTCCACAACCACAACAATCACCACGGCAATACCCACAACTGCTGCTGCTAACCAGGAAGCTACTTCATCTGACCCGTTATCTGCAGATCAGCTTGATAAGGTTAAAAATGCCGATCCAGAAAATGCCAATGATTCTTCCTCATCATCATCTTCTGACGACGAAGCCCTCAAAACTCCCATCACCTCAGCAGCAGCCGCCGCGGCCGCGCACATCGCCGACGCCGAGGGCGCCAAACTACAGCGAGCCCTCCAGTGGCGGAAGTACCTCGTCCTGCTCATCATCGCCTACAACCTGGTCTCCACGGGGGTGACCATCTTCCGGCCGCTGCAGATCGACCAGCTGACCAAGGTGGACTTCCTCTTTCGCCATTTTCACTCGCGAACTCCCGAGGAGCAGGCAGTGGAGGACGGGAAGATCGACGCCGTCACCTTCTACGAGATCTTCGTCG